AAAAAAAAAAAGAAACACCTGGGACTTGAATCAGGGCACATATGGGATGCCAGCAACACAGGTGGTAGCTTTATCTGCTACACCACAGTGCTGGCCCCTGACTAGATATCATTAACAAAGATGAACACATGAGCAATAAAGATATAGTCAATTTCATATAAAATGTAATTTTAAAATCTGTGGTGCCGGTGCTGTGGCTCAGTAGGTTAATCCTCCACTTGCAGCTTTGTGCATCCTATATGGGCGCAGATTCTAGTCCCGGTGCTCCTCTTCCGATCCAGCTCTCTGCTATGGCCTGGGAAAGCATTGGAAGATGGCCCAGATGCTTGGGCCCATGCACCTGTGTTGGAGACCTGGAAAAAACTCCTGGCTCTTGGCTTCAGATCCGCTCAGCTTTGGTCGTTGTGGCCATTTGGGGAGTGAACCAGCGGATGAAAGACCTTACACTCTGCCTCTCCCTCTCACTGTCATAACTCTCTCTCTCAAATAAATAAAATCTTAAAAAAAAATTTCTGTAAAAATTTACATAACTGATACTACCAGAGATACTACATTTGGTATACCAGTGGTATTTTGGGGGATAAAATAGCTCTTTTCTTCAAAGATAACTACATGATACAGTTTTCGTTCATTGTTACAGTTACAATGTTCTATGAAATCAGTTTTCACCACTTCATTTTTTGAAAAGAAAGTAAAATAAAGCGGGGTGAAACGGAAGTAAGGTTAAGATTTCTAAAATGAGGATTCAAAGCTAAGAGAGGGCAAGAAAAAAATCAGGAGTCTGAATATACTTTAAAATTGATTTAAAAACACTTTACTACTGAAATGCTTTTTAACATAATGAAAAATCCCCAAAGCAACAAAAAAAAATAGACTTCTAAACATCACATACTAATGTTACAGCATCTTTCTCATCAATTTTTAATCTAAAAATTAACTCTCTTTGGAACTCTGATGGTAAACTGTGAACATTAAATTATCTATAGTTTAGATTCAAAGCTTTCAAACTTGTGGATCTACTAAATACAGACAGGTTTGGTGAGACTCACCATTATATAAAGAGCCCCCTTCAGCATATTCCATCACAAGACATACCTAAAGGAAAGAAAAACCAGAAGAATTAACTGGAGCTAGCATCTTAGACTCTTGGGAAAGAATTTAATTCAACCTCTTGATTTGTAAACACATTAAAAGTCATTCTTTCAAACTGTACTATGTGAAGAGGACCATCGGGAAAAAAGGTATCTAAGACCTAAGAATATTACTCCTAGGGGAGCCCAATAAGACAGAAGATTTATATATATATATTATATATATATATAATATATGTATATATTATATATATATAATCACAAGATCTTTTGGGGATTTTCTTGATGTCATAGGCTACCAGAAGCTTCATAAGGGGTTATTGGATAAGACCAATAACTCCTCCATTATACTGTTTTGCTAGAAGACTAGAAACAAATGCATAAAGTACAACAGTTTTTTCAGAAATGCATCCAAAAGAGCAGTTCCAAATAACTTCATATACACTTACACACATTTGCCACACCATTTCTTACAGACAGATGACAACGACAAAGTGACAAACTTACTGGATTTAAGCAGGCTCCATATAGCTTTACAATATTGGGATGGTTCACCCGAGACAACTGCCGAAGCTGTAACAAATTAAAGTTTCTTTCAGAAAAGTGGTGATTTCTGAAGTACTGACTTTATAGCACCATTAAAATCGTACAGTACTCTAAAATATTTGTCTAAATCATTCAACAATCACTATTTACTATGTGGCAAGCACTGTGGCTACAGTACTCCCCAGAATGGCATAAAATCCTTGTCCTCCGACAGTTTAGTTATGGGGATAGATATATAAAAAATTAATTAAAGCAACCTGCAAAGTACTGTAATAGGATTTACAAACAAGGCATGATGAGTACACAGAAGAGATTAACTCTGCCAAGAAATGTGAGGACATAATCCCAGAGATAGCACTGAGCTGAGTTATCCAAGCAGAAGCAGCCAGGTTATTGTTACTAACATCTTCTTCACAGCTATGAACGTGTAGTCTACCTATTCTCCACGTGGGGCCTGGTGAGCACTTCTTGGAGACTGTATAATTAACATAACTCTCCAAGGGTGGGTATTTTCATTTCCTTTTAAAAGATAAGGCCTTAAAGTTAAGGCCAAGAGAGGGTTAAATGATCTGCTAAAAAATGTTCCTGCCAGGAAATGAAAAAATGAGGGTCTGAACTTGAGTCTGACTTAAAAGGTACACTGTTTGTATATACTGGCCTCCATTTCATTTCCCAACTCTTGAATCAATTCCCTTTTCTCCATGTCTACTGTTACTGCCTTAGTTAACTCCAACCTGAAACACTGCAGTAATTACTATAACCATATTGGTCTCCACACTTTTCACTGAGGGGTTTCGCTGTACTCATTTCAAGGGAAATGATTCTAGATCTCAAGTTAATGTATCTTATCTATACTCTCCCCACCCCCAAAATGCTTCTTGTTCTTTCTTCCCTCTGTTTGCTGCCTTTCTCCCACTCTTCTTCCTTTCCTTATTACCTACATTATGCTGCTGGTTCATACTAAGTCTTCTAAGTCTCTAAACCATTTTCAAAATTTTTATTATTTATTTGAGAGACAGAGAAAACAACAGAGAAAGAGTAAGCTTCCATTTACTGGTTCACCCTGAAAATGCCTGCAATGGCTGGGACTGAAGCTGGGAACACAATCCACATCTTCTGTGTGGGTGGAAGGAAACCAATTACTTAAGCTATTACTGCTGTCTCCTAGGTCTGCACTGCAGGAAGATAGATTCAGGGGCCAGAGCTGGAAATCAAATCCAGGTACTCTGATGTGAGACATAGGCCCTTTAACCCCTAGGTCAAAAAACACCTGATCCCTAAACCTTTTTACTATAAAATACTAGAAAGCTTTATCCCTCCATAGCCAACAATCATAGATTTTGGGGTCCTAAGAGAAAACTTAGTATCACTTATTATATAAAATATGTAAAGCATCTCATCTTAAGATTCAACATTATTATATAATACACTTATTACACCTCATCTTGAGATTCAGATAGCAAACTAGTAAAACGTTTATTCTGTTCCGTCTCTAAATCCCAGTAAGACAGTAAAGGATTTTTTTTCCCCAAGGCATAAACTAAGAAGAAGAGAGTATGAAATGAGAAAACAGTAAACACTGCTGGAAGCTGGAAACAGATGACTAGCATATAACTGACACAGCAGATCAGTAAGAGCTGAAACGTAAACAGGCAATGAGAAAAACTGACAAGTAACCAGTTATTTTACAAAGCCCCCAAAAGGTTGGGAGGTAGTTATATAAGTGAGCCAATGAAAAGAAGGAGGAGGGAGGGCTGGTTAAAAGTCAGACTCAAAGATCTCTTCCCTGACTTCAAAGCTCAATGATGATCTCATCATTGCAGCACAAAACTAGAAGCTGATTTTGAAAGAGAGCACATAATGAACAACATCTGGAATAGAGGACACCAAATGCCAGCAAAGGGATAAACTCAATGTAGTTGTCTCTGGAAAGCAGAAAATTAGATTGGGGGAGGTATAGAGGATTGAATTTGTTTTACTAAGAATTCTTAGAGGGGCCGGTCTTGTGGCCTAACGGGTTATACCGCCACCTGAAACACTGACATCCCCTGTGAGTCCTGGCTGCTCCACTTCTGATCCAGCTCCCTGCAAATATGCCTGGGAAAGCAGTGGAAGATGGCCCAAGTCCTTGGGCCCCTGTACTTCTGTGGGAAACCTGGATGAAGCTTCTGGCTCCCGGCTTCAGCCTGGCCCAGACCTGGCTGTTGGAGCCATTTGGGGAGTGATCCAACAGATGGAAGATCTCTCTCTTTTCCTCTCTTTGTAACTCTGCCTTTGAAATAAATTAAATCTTAAAAAAAAAAAAAAAAGAATTCATAGAGGACCATTTGACTCAAAATTACTTGCATATATAACCTTTTTTTTTTTTTTGACAGGCAGAGTGGACAGTGAGATAGAGAGACAGAGAGAAAGGTCTTCCTTTGCCGTTGGTTCACCCTCCAATGGCCACCGCGGCCGGCGTGCTGCGGCCGGCACACCGCGCTGATCCGATGGCAGGAGCCAGGTACTTATCCTAGTCTCCCATGGGGTGCAAGACCCAAGTACTTGAGCCATCCTTCACTGTACTCCCTGGCCACAGCAGAGAGCTGGCCTGGAAGAGGGGCAGCCGGGACAGAATCCAGCGCCCTGACCGGGACTAGAACCCGGTGTGCCGGCGCCGCAAGGCGGAGGATTAGCCTAGTGAGCCGCGGCGCCGGCCTTGCATATATAATCTTAATTATAACTTTTTTCTCAATTGATTATGATCTTTTTGGCTCTTGATTCCTAGCATTTTATACATATGCTATTTCTACCAGCTTTGTAAAACTGCCAATATGGCAGTATGTGATCAATGAGCTTATCTAAACACTAAGCAAAAATAATGAATAAGGCAAGGTTAAGGCTAGACTCCTAGAGCATACTATTAGATAACATCTTTCTTCATGACAACATCAAACCATCCATCAGCATTTCTCAACTCATTCAGCCAACTATAAATCACTTAATCACATCACAATTAAGTTCTCATTTCTCCACATTACATATCAAAAATACCATAAAACATTTTTAAATTATGGTTAAATAAAAACAGAAATAAATGCAAGTTTACAAGGTTAAAAGCATCTATCTGTTGGCCAGCAAGGATAAAAACTGTAAAACTGATCCAATCAAAACACTGATTAACTACAAAATAATACAAAGTTAATAAAGTAAGGAATATATCTGATGATAATCTAATAATTATTGAACTTTCCTTCATCATCCAACCTATGAGAATTGTAAATTTTATGCTAATGAGAAAAATCAAACTTTAAATTATTTTCCCTTAAAATAGTCTCATTTGAATTTCCAAAAACACTGTGTTAAAACAGGAATGCAAGGATAGGTATTTGGTACAATGGTTCAAATGCTGCTTGGACTGCCCATATCCCCTGTCAGGGTACTCAGGTTCAAGTTCCCACTCCTTCCAGACTCCAGCTTCCTGTTATCTGTACCCTAGAAGGCAGCAGGTGAAGCTCAAATAATTGAGTCGTCTCTCATGCATGTGGGAGTCTATATAATAGAATACCACTTCTTTCCTATCCTACAATACTATGCCTTGAAACAGGTCCAAATTCCTGGATGAATATTGAATTCATTTATGTAGCTAAGTCTCTTCCACTTTCAGTTTCATTAGAATTGGAATGTGAATGAAACACTGTTTCTATGGAACTACATTTGGTTAAAATTGCAGATGTTTATATATATAAAAAATGACAACTGGAAAATAATCTCTTTCATAATATTAAATTCACAGAGTATCTCAGGTGAAGAACTACACAACAGAAATGACATTTCAACTTACCTCCACAATAAATGCTTTCCTCTCAGATTCACTTTCTATTTGTTTAATAGCAACATCTTTTGCTCTCCATTTAGCTTTGCAAACCACTCCAAAGGCTCCTCTTCCAACAACCTGAGTTAAAAAGAAACCCATGAGAATCAGAAGCAAACAGATCCAGCCTAACATAACACTGATGTCAATCTTTAAGTCTTATAAACAAAATTTTAGAAATGATGAATATCTAGATTTTTCACTTTGTAGTATGAATTTTATTAAAGTGAAGGGATAATGAAATGCACACTGTCTTTAGCTTTGAAAGGTTGTGATCTAGATACACCCTTCTTTTCAAGTAAAACCAAAAACAGTAAGTGATGGATTAGGTGTGTGGCACAGCAGGTTATAAAATAGCTTTGGGATGCCTACATCCCCAACTGGGGTGCCTGGGATTGAGTCCTGCTTTTGTTTCTGATCCAGCCTCTTGCTAATGTATTCTGCGAGGCAGCATAAGATGGTTTGAGTCCCTGCCATCCATGTGAAAGGCTTACAATGAGTCCTACCCTGGCTGTTCAGGGCATCTGGGAAGTGAACCAGTTGATGGAAAATCTCTCTTTCTCTGTGTTGCTCTGCCTTTCAAATAAAACAACAACAACAACAACAAACAAACAAACAAAAAAAACCTTCAAACTTAAAATAAAAAGTAGGAACATACAGTAAATATAACAAATGCTTTAACCTATCCCCTTTTTAAAAAAAAATTTTTTTTGACAGGCAGTTAGACAGTGAGAGAGAGAGAGACAGAAAGAAAGGTCTTCCTTTTCTGTTGGTTCACCCTCCAAGTGGCCACAACGGCCAGTGTGTTGCGGCCAGCGCGCTGCGCCGATCCGAAGCCAGGAGCCAAGTGTTTCCTCCCGGTCTTCCATGCGGGTGCAGGGCCCAAGCACCTGGGCCATCCTCCACTGCACTCCCGGGCCACAGCAGACAGCTGGACTGGAAGAGGGGCAACCGGGACAGAATCCAGTGCCCCAACCGGGACTAGAACCTGGGGTGCCGGCACCGCAGGCAGAGGATTAGCCTAGTGAGCCGTGGCGCCTGCCTAACCTAACCTCTTTAAGAATTTTTCTGAATAACTGAGTAGGGGAAGAGGATGGGAGAGATAAAAACATAAATAAAAGCTTAGCCATGTTAAAGATTACACAAAATATGATATTATCAATACAATGGAATATTACTTGGCAAGAAAAAGATACATGACACATACTACAACATAAATGAACCTCAAAGATATTACATCAAATGAAAGAAGCCCGACATTAGAGACCACATATTGTATGATTTCATTTATATGAAATATCCACGTATGACAAATCTATATATAGAAAAAGTAGATCAGTGGTTGCCTAGTGCTTTGGATGAAGATTGAAATTAACCATAAATGTACAGCAGGTATCCTGCCAAAACGATGAAAATGTTTAAAAACTCATTTATAACCACAGTTGACAACTTGGTAAATTTGTAAAACAAACAAACAAAAAAACCCCTGAATTTCATATGTCAAACAGGTGATTTTTGATATGTACACTGAATCTCATTAGTCATTCTTGAATGTTATAGATCAGCATGAATATTACTGATGAAGGTAACCAATGTGTATCACGTAGATTCATGCTGTCATGCTGCTCTCTCTACTTTTATAAATGTTTGCAGCTTTCTATAATATAAAAAAACAGTACAATATAAAAGTAAAAATGAGCTTTTGATATCTGTTGCAACAAAGTCATCAGATTTTATCATTGTGGGGGACATTAGGTAAGTGCTATCTACTCCTATCTTGTTTTCCCACGTATGTAAATACTGTGCCAAGGCCTTTTCCTTAGGTGAAAAAAATCTATCCTTCCTTTTCACATTTATATATTTTTCCACATAGCAGGCCCTGAACTAAGTGCTTTACATACATTAGCTCATTTTCACAGTCCTACAATACAGTCATTAATGCTATCCTCATTTTATACATGAAGCACTGAGCTTTAAAGAAATAAGCTAACCCATCCAAGGTTACCTAGTTAACAAGTGGTTGAGTTTGTTTTGATGCCAGGCAGTCTCAGACTAGGCTGTCAGTGATCCTAACATGTAAAACTTGTAAGACTGTTCATGAATCAGAAAACAGCAATTATGTTTTCCCTTGGGAGAAACTTCACTTGACTTAAAACCTAGATATACAAATCTACAGCAGAAGAAACCTCTTCTATAACAAAGGGGACCAAATGCTTAAGTGAGCAAATGATTTATTATTTACATCAGAACACACTGAAGAGTATAAAGGGGGCACTAATACCTACACCATAGCCACTGTAATCATTGATCAACTTTCACTTCATAAATCACATAAAGGAATGAACACTCCTCATCCTGCTCAACACATAAAGTCACCACATGGTCCATGCTGATTGAATGTTTAACACATGCAGGTACTATTCCATGTACTTTTCATGCATCAACACAGCCAATACTCTTCCATTTTAAAGTAAATGGAGTCATATGGTAATAACCTGTCCTAAATCACACAGTTTGAAAGTCTTCTGAGAAGCCAGAATTTGAAATCTAGAGCATGTAAGGATCAACACTCTCTATATTCAGCTTCTGTCACTGGTTAGGAAAACTGGGCTGCCTCTAGGCAAAACTGCAAAGTAGGCCAACAACTCTGATAATTAGTGATGAGATTATGCTGACTCTGCATTTTCAACTTAAAACCATTGAAACAGGATGTGGGCACATGAGGACATGATAAATTTTCTCCCTTTTGCCTCCCAAATTTTCCACAACATTCTGAATCATGCTTTGGTGACTTTCCTTTTTAACCTTCCCAGCCCTAGCCATTCTAGTTCTATCTGCTATTGGAATCAACATCCGTCATTCACACTTGCCATACAGTTACTTTGCCATAAGACAATATTGGCTATCTGGCACCATTAATAATGGAAAGAGTACATCCAGCTCTGGAACCCAATAGACTACCCAGAGTTTGAAGGCAGAGTTTTGTCTTTCTATAAACTCTTAATGGTGGACAAGTTATCTGTGAGTTTTTGTTTCCATGATAGTAAAACAGAGATGCTTATATATTTCTGAGTGAGTATCTTTAGGTTAAAACTAGGCATTTCTGAAATACTACAAATTATAATTAAGTGTTTAAAGTATGGTGTGATTTAATAGAAAAGGCTATTATATTTATTTCTCTCACAATAAACTAAGATGAATAGTAAACAAATATTAAAGGAGTTTCAACTTTATGGCAACATTAGACTAAGAAGATATACAGGGGAACAATCTACCTATTGATTCAATGAGTTCTATTAACTATTAACTAAAGTGAAGTAATTTAGTATATTCAGCCATGTATTCTTTGATGAATTTTCTAATATATCAAAGCAATGGGTGCTTAGTAGAATTATCCTTGTTTTATTTTTATGTTCTGAGGAATGAATGTTGAATGTTTATGCAGGGTTTCCAAACATGCATATTTGTGGATCATGCACTTGTCACAAAAACTATTGTATGACTATTCGTGACCCACAGTGCCACCTAGTGATGAGATGAAGGCTGACTCTGAGCTTTTAACTTAAAAGCAAGGGAACAAAACATGGGCAAAGGAGAGCATGATAAACTTTCTCTTTTTTCTTCTTGAGACAAAAAATTTTCCAGGATATTATACTGGCACATTCATGTGAGATGAGAGGCCATGGCCTCAAGAATTATACACTTTCATTAAGGTTATATGAAACTTCACATGCAACATGAAACAATGGTATCTAAATGATAAGAAAAGTTAACATATCCAAAGTTGTATGCATAAACTGAAATATATTATAGAAATAATAAATGTGAATTAAAAGGAGTGAAGATGTAAGTTCAGGGTCAATGCTTAAAAATTAAATTTTTGCATATCAAAATATGACTTCTCATTTTTCCACACTGCATGAATGCAGAGATTTCAGGAGTGAGAATTTATCCCTGTCTTTATAGGATAAAAGTAAGATAGTGAGGAGCCAGCACTGTGGTGCAGCAGGCTGGAGCCCCAGCCCTTAATGCCAGCATCCCATGTGGGTACCGATTGAGTCCCTGCTGCTCCACTTCCTACTAGCTCCCTGTTGGTGCTCTTGGGAGAGCAGTGGAGGATGGCCAGCTCCTTGGGTCCCTGTGCCCACATGGGAGATCCAGAGGAGGCTCCTGACTCCTGGCTTTGGATTGGTTCGGCTCTTGCTGTTGTGGCTATTTGGGGAGGAGGCCAGTGGATGGAAGACCTCTCTGTCTGTCTCTGCCTCTCTCTGTAACTCTATCTTTCAAATAAATAAAATAAACCTTTAAAAGAAAAAAAAAAGTGAGGTAGAGAAGAAATTTAAGATTAAACAATAGTACTTGGAATTATTTAAGCACCAGCTGAAGAGAACCAAATGTCAGTTCGTGTAGAAGCTGGGAACACCACCACCCCTGCCCCTTGCAGACTACCATTCTGGAATAGCGAAGGGATTCAAGGGCAGAAAGAACTTATTCTCTTCATTTCACATTCAGAGCCTCAAGAGCGGGCAGCCTTACAGAATGTGCTCTGAAAACATGGGAATCCACAAAGCGGTAAGGATGGCAGCAAAGGACAGACAGAAGGCAGCTCCCTTAGCCCAGGCAGAACATGGAAAAGATACAGAAAAAACCCTGTCAAAAGAAAAGCAAGGGAACTGAACATTAAAGTCTTCTGACTACAGAAAGGAGGCTGCTAGGCAGTGCTGGCATCTGTAACAGAGGCTGTGGGTTGGTAGACAGCTCAAACACAGGGGGATAAATGCAGAATACAGCCGAGTGTCAAAGGACCAATAAAAGCCAAGAGGAAGGCCTAATCAGCATGCAGGCAGAAATGGGTAAGGTCTTCTGCTTTCAAGGGGTGAAAATGAGACTTTCTGACAACAGAATGACAGACTTCATTTGTTTACTCTTCAAACCAATATTTCTTGAATACCTACTACTATACACAGTTACCATTTAGGGTACCAGGCATGTGTAAATAAATAAGACAAATGCCTTGATTTACATGGGATACACTTAAAAGAATAATCAACAGAAAGATGAATAAGAAGTGTCAGATAATT